ATTCTACTCCAGTAAAAGCAGCTTTAGGCTGGAAAATAAGAACAGACTGAGCTCTGACAAGAAACTGTAGATGAAATTCTAGTGGATTAAAACAACTACCATTTATGTACAATCTTCTGCAGAAATCTTAGCAGTAAATAAAAATAGCAAGTGGAAAATTAAGTTTCTGCAGCCAACTTTTCAAAGAAATAGAACAAAGGTAAGCGTGTATTCGATCTTCCTTCGGATATTTCTACCAATACTTCAACAAAGCAACCAAGTATTCATGTTCTGCAGATACACAGGGTTAAAATGAGATGATTTCATAAATATTACATGTATAAAATATTGTTACATTTTGGTCTTTAGACTCATAATAACTGGTCAGAGTACCTGAAAAGAGCTTGTGCACTTTTAATCATAGCCACTATCTATAAAGTCCTGTAGACTTTCAATTACTTATCAAGTCTTGATGCTATGAAAAGAAAATGCAGCAAGAGATTGCATTTCACTCCGGTGAATTTATAGAAGCAAACATTTTTACAGATTAAACAAATAAAATGTTTCCATCGCAAGAAGTCAGTTGCATTTTAGTATCTCTTCAAATATTCTCATTTTTGATGCTCCACCTTTAAATTATAAATTTAAAGTCCACAAATACCACCATCAGATCAATTAAAGTATCTTGTATGCCTTTCAAATACATAGGTTCACATTCTGGTAAAGAATAGTTTGCAATACAGTACTCTAATGAAATCTGTTCAAAAGCAGACCTGCAATGCGTATGCTTTCAGTTTGCAAGATCAATCAATATCCAAACAGCTAACGTTTAAGAAGGGTATATAGCAAAAGACGCAATAAAACTACGTGTTTACTTTAGGAACAAGACAATGTTCTCTATAAAATCATGAAGATTACGTTCCAAGGGGCTCTATAAGGTGTTAGATTTCCCATTTCTTTTCACAGTTAACGATCAAAGCTCTTCTACTAACCAAAATACCATCAGGGTTTTAAAACTGCACACACACACACCTGCCTTTCAAGAACCAGGGGAGAAGCTGTATTTACAATACGCAACCAGTCTAGGATTGGGCGGGTAGTCTCATCACATTTCACGACTTTAGCCTGTCTTTGAAATGAGTTACGACCTCTATTTCTCTATTAATTTCAGAGCAAACTACCTTTAAGAGGACGAAGAAAATATTCACGATGTAAAATCCAAGATTTTTTTGTGTGCGTGTGTGGGGGGGAATTATGTAACACACACACCCCTTGCTGCAGACTCCATCAACGCAACAATCAAACCAAAACAGAGTCAGAAGCATTATGCTTCCCGCATTCTTCTCCTTCCTACCAACATACATCTTAAAACAAAGTCATTTGCAGAGCCATTGCCTCCCCAGCCACTCCCGGTGACCTGGGCAGTCGAGCCTCGAGCTACATCTCTCAGAAGGAAGAGAACAGCCACTCTAACCCAAGGTGGGCAAGTCTCCCTTACTGGGAATAACCCACCACTACAACCCATCATCACGCCCGGCTCAGCATTAAAGAGAAGTGCGGGTGGCAACTGGGGTTAAACTTTCCCAACCACAAACACACACACGATAAACCATCCCCATCCGGCTGTCGGCCCACAACTCTCTCCTCCCTCCTCCATCATCCTTTGATCTATGATTAGGATCATGTGTTGCACGCTGTGTATAGGGGGGTAACTCCCCATCGTACCTCTTGCACCCCCTAACCCAGCACCATGGAGGAGAGGGAGTAACCCCCTTTCATCCCCAGCACCCTGGAGAGAGGCATCATCATCCAGCAGTACCCATCATCCCCCAAAGAACGAAGGAAGCCGACCTTGCCTCCAACCCCAACTCAGCCCTCGCATAAAAGGTGGTTTTACTCAAGGTAAAGGGATTAATTCCCATATGAAATAAGAGAGGGTTAAATTCCACCACGAGAGAGGTAAAGGGGATATTACCATGGGAAAAACAGGTTAGATTCCCCCCCCTCAAGGAGAGGGGCAGGGGACTCAAACCACACAGACAGGTAGGTAAATTGGGTGCCCCAAAGAGAATGCGGTTAGACCCCATCAAAGAGGGGAACTGGGGGTTAAATGCCATAGAGATTATAGATGGGATGCATGAGATGTCATCGTAAATAGAGTAAACTTCACCTCCAAAAAGGGGAACAGGGGTCCAAACCTCCCAGAGAGGACAGCTAGGGTGCCATAGGGTTAAATCTATAGATAGGGTGTCACGGGGAATTGGGGGGGAGGGAGGGTCTCAAGCCCCGCAGAGGACGGGCGGGGTGTCACGGGGAATTGGGAGGGCGAGGGAGGGGCTCAAGCCCCGCAGAGGACGGGCGGGGTGTCACGGGGAATTGAGGGGGGGGCGGCTCAAGCCCCGCAGAATACGGGCGGGGTGTCACGGGGAATTGGGGGCGGGGGGCTCAAGCCCCGCAGAGGACGGGCGGGGTGTCACGGGGAATTGGGGCGGGGGGGCGGCTCAAGCCCCGCAGAGGACGGGCGGGGTGTCACGGGGAATTGGGGCGGGGGGGCGGCTCAAGCCCCGCAGAGGACGGGCGGGGTGTCACGGGGAATTGGGGGGGGGGGGCGGCTCAAGCCCCGCAGAGGACGGGCGGGGTGTCACGGGGAATTGGGGGGGGGGGCGGCTCAAGCCCCGCAGAGGACGGGCGGGGTGTCACGGGGAATTGGGGGTGGCGCGGCTCAAGCCCCGCAGAGGACGGGCGGGGTGTCACGGGGAATTGGGGGGGGGCGGCTCAAGCCCCGCAGAGGACGGGCGGGGTGTCACGGGGAATTGGGGGGGGGGCGGCTCAAGCCCCGCAGAGGACGGGCGGGGTGTCACGGGGAATTGGGGGGGGGGGCTCCTCAAGCCCCGCAGAGGACGGGCGGGGTGTCACGGGGAATGGGGGGGGGGGCTCCTCAAGCCCCGCAGAGGACGGGCGGGGTGTCACGGGGAATTGGGGGGCGGCTCAAGCCCCGCAGAGGACGGGCGGGGTGTCACGGGGAATTGGGGGGGGCAGCTGAAGCCCCGCAGAGGACGGGCGGGGTGTCACGGGGAATTGGGGGGGGCTCCTCAAGCCCCGCAGAGGACGGGCGGGGTGTCACGGGGAATTGAGGGGGGGCTCCTCAAGCCCCGCAGAGGACGGGCGGGGGTGTCACGGGGAATTGAGGGGGGCTCAAGCCCCGCAGAGGACGGGCGGGGTGTCACGGGGAATTGGGGGCTCAAGCCCGAGAGGACGGGGGGGGGGGGGGCTCAAGCCCCGCAGAGGACGGGCGGGGTGTCACGGGGAATTGGGGGGGGCTCAAGCCCCGCAGAGGACGGGCGGGGTGTCACGGGGAATTGGGGGGGGCTCAAGCCCCGCAGAGGACGGGCGGGGTGTCACGGGGAATTGGGGGGGGCGGCTCAAGCCCCGCAGAGGACGGGCGGGGTGTCACGGGGAATTGGGGGGGGGGGGCGGCTCAAGCCCCGCAGAGGACGGGCGGGGTGTCACGGGGAATTGGGGGGGCGGCTCAAGCCCCGCAGAGGACGGGCGGGGTGTCACGGGGAATTGGGGGGGGGGCGGCTCAAGCCCCGCAGAGGACGGGCGGGGTGTCACGGGGAATTGGGGGGGGGCGGCTCAAGCCCCGCAGAGGACGGGCGGGGTGTCACGGGGGAATTGGGGGGGGGGGCGGCTCAAGCCCCGCAGAGGACGGGCGGGGTGTCACGGGGAATTGGGGGGGGGCGGCTCAAGCCCCGCAGAGGACGGGCGGGGTGTCACGGGGAATTGGGGGGGGGCGGCTCAAGCCCCGCAGAGGACGGGCGGGGTGTCACGGGGAATTGGGGGGGGGCTCAAGCCCCGCAGAGGACGGGCGGGGTGTCACGGGGAATTGGGGGGGGGCTCAAGCCCCGCAGAGAACGGGCGGGGTGTCACGGGGAATTGGGGGGGGGGCTCAAGCCCCGCAGAGGACGGGCGGGGTGTCACGGGGAATTGGGGGGGGCTCAAGCCCCGCAGAGAACGGGCGGGGTGTCACGGGGAATGGGGGGGGGGGAGGGGGGTGGGGGGGGGCTCAAGCCCCGCAGAGGACGGGCGGGGTGTCACGGGGAATTGGGGGGGGGCTCAAGCCCCGCAGAGGACGGGCGGGGTGTCACGGGGCAGGGGTTAGAGGCGCCCCCTCACACGCAGTCTCCCAGGGGGGGTTCAGTGCGGCGGCTTCACCCCCCCGCCCCCGGGGCTCACTCACCTCTAGCAGCCCAGACCCCAGCGCAGAGCAGCCCAGCGGTGAGGAGCCAGGCGGGCGTCAGGAGAGGGCAGAGCATCCCGGGGCGCAGCATCGCTCGCTCTCTCCCCGCTCAGAGCGGGTGGGGGGATTGACCCCTAAGAGACAGGGAAGGGGGCGCCCCCAGCGGGCCCGGCTGCGTCCCGCGCCGCGCGGCGGAGGGTCCGGGGCGCTGAGGAAGCTCCGCTCCCTTCCTCAGAGCCCAGCACTCCGCCAGCGGCCGCTAAGATCAAGATGGCGGCGGCTGATGCTTAGGTTCATTCTCTCCCGCAGCGGTTACCAGGCGGGGGAGGGGGAGCCGGGGAGAAACCAACTCAGCGAGAGGGAGAGGGATGGGATATACGGGATGGGAGAAACCACCTCATTCCTATGGAGGAGGGGAACAAACCACTTAATCGTCGCAGGGGGAGAGGGGCAAAAGGAGAGAACTCACCTGGGGCAAGAGGGTAGAACCATTTGGGGGGGGGGACACCCACACCTTATTTCTTGGGGTGAATTAGAGGGAGGAGAGAAATCAAACCTGTTGCGGGGGGGGGGTTCCTGGAGGGGAGAGACCACCTCATGGGGGTGGATAACATTTCTGCGGGAAATGTTGGGGGGCGGGGGTTGAGAGAAGGAAAGTACCATCTGGGGCGGTAGACAGATGGGGAAAAAACCATCTCATCTCTGTGGGGGGAAGGTTGTTTTCACGCTCTACCTGGAAGAAACCAAAACTACCCCGCCCTCTCCTCTGGACTCCTGTCACAGCCAGGGCTGGTTGTGCCCCTGCTCTCCCTCTGCAGAGCCCGGGGCTTCCTCCTCCAGCGTGGGGATGGCTCCATTCCTTTTGCACTGGAGGGGGAGGATGCGGGTGATCATGGGCCTGCCCGTTTGCATTGTATTAAACATCACACATTGCAATGCCATCTCACATGATTTGCTCTGTAGAGGTAGGAGCGCAGGCGGGAGGTATGTAGATGTTGGCGCACCATCCATTTTGTATTGCCTTGCAAGCTCTCATCGCTTGCATTGAAAAGGGGGCAGAATGCAGATGCTGCTGCTCAGTCAGTCGTGCCCTGTGTTAAGCACCACATAGTGGGCGCTACCAGGATAAAAATAAATAACATTGCAATGCATACTACCGTGGTCTGTGTTGGCTGGAGTGGAAGGCAGAGCTAAAGACAGATGCGTTATTCAGTTTGCTTTACACTGCAATGCAGACTCCCTTGGATGCAGGGAGGGAAGGTACAGATGCTCAGTTCCTTTTGTGTCGCATTAAACTTCATATTCCACTGCAAACTCGCGTGGTTTTCCACTGGATGAGGCAGAGGCGGAGGAGTTAAAACGGTGGCGCCCTGTTACTTATTTAATGGGTGCATATGGAGTGGGTGGATGGTGGGAATGTAAAATGCTGTATCACTCGCAATGCTTTCTCCTTTTTGTATTGTACAGTATTAAAATTCACAAACTGCAATGCAATGAAATCTATCCAGAAACCAAATCCTTCAGTCTTTACTCAGCCAGAAGCCTAGCTGAAATCAAGGACATTTTTCCTAGGTAAGAACTGATGAAAGATTGTAGGATTTACATAAGGAACAGTTTGCAGCATAACTGGCCTAATGCAACAGTTATTTTCAGGAGCCTAGATTTCTCTCCAAACTATGTAGGATTGTTGTCTTCTTTCTATTATTGTGTACTCTATTTCCATGGTTGTGTTGTTAATTTTTCCTGATATTCTCCAAAGAATAATTGTTTGCATTCCTGCCATTGAAATTAACTGTGTTGCAAGATTGCTCTGTATCTTGCTAATACAAAAATAATATTTTGCTCTTGTATAGCTCCTTCCACGTGAGGATCTGGAGTTACTTTACAAACATTAACTAATTAAAACTTCATGACTCAATAGTGGGTCACTATCAAGTCATTCTTTTAAAAATTACTTTTTAAAAATTCCAGTTCCTGATACATCAGCTTTTAAATAGTATATCCTGACTTTCTAAACATTCCTTTACATTTTTATAAGGGATTGGCCTGCTCCCGTGTTAATATTTGTAAAGATATTTCCAGCAAAGCTGGAATTGATTCAGGGCCCTGATCCTGCTATAGGGGAGTAGGATCAAGCCCTTAGAGCCTGATTCTTCAATGACAGGGGTAGAGGTCTGCCCACAAATATCACATTGTAGGCTGGTAGCTTACCAGGGAAATGGTAAAAGAGACCTGCATAAAGTACTGTCAAATGCACAATGTGAAAAAAATAGAGAAAAATATGGCAAGGGTTTGTTTTTTAAAGTAATCTAAGGCCACAATGCTGCAAAGACTTATCTATATGCTTAACTTTAAGTACATGCATAAGTCTTTATAGGATCAGGTCTATAGGTGATTTTTGAGTTGGTGTCCTTTGAAGAATTATTAGCCCAATTTTACAGATGGAGAAACTGAGGCACAAAATGCCTCTCTCATAATTGAGTAGTATAAATGTTTCTGCATAGAGTAGCTAAACTGTTTTTCAAGTACCTAAGAAGCATGCAGACATTCAGATTAGTCAGATGCATTTTTATGTACATTGATTCTTTTTTATTAAGACACAGCATTAAGTTCTATCTGGGAAAACGTGCAGGTGCCTCATGTGGAAGAAGCCTGCATGTGAATAATTCAGTTGCACAGAACCTGTTCAGCAGCAGAAGGATGATGGTCTCAGGTTCCTTTGTTATTATTGCTCTTTGATCAAAAAATTCAATCAGAGAGCCAATTTCAAAAGAGGAAAATCTACCTTCCCAGATGTATAGAGCTTCATAAAAGCCAAAGTGAGACAGACTGATTTTATCATTACAGAGATGACTCTTTTGCACCTATTCGCCATTTCACGCCCACAGTAAAATAAAACAGACTGTTTTGACATCCCTGATATGGTTTTTATTTCCATCTTTTTTTATATATTTAAACTCATCATGTGCCTTTAGTGCTGGCATGACAGACAGCTGTTTATCTATAGAACAGGCAGTCCCAGTAACAGCTCCTGCCACGTTGCCCCACCAGTATACCAGCAAAGCAAACTCCAGATGTAGGGGACATCCAGCCTTCCAGAGCCGAGAGGATAATTTATTCACCACACCAGTCAGTCCTTGCTCTACTCTACTAAAAGACAACTAGTAACAATTATTGTGCTGTTTTTCTTACTCTTATGGACACTTCACCACTGGGAATTGGACAAAGGCCACCAAAGAGCCATCAGAGGCAACTTTCACTCCCTAGCATCCTGGGCTGGATTTAAACTGGATCCTGCAGGTGAAGATTTTCATGCATTACCAGTCCCCTACATTATTCATCCCACCTCCAGGATGCTTATTTTAGTTTAGCAGCTATATATTCTATGTTGTTGAAAAATCACTGCTTCCTCAACATGGAGGCAACATCTTGTGAGCATGTATCCCACTGAACATCAGAGAAAAGTAGGGAAAGAAACAACTGAATGTCCCACATCATTAAAAGGAGCTTGGGGAGTCTAGTGCTTGGAGCAGGACGCTCTGAGACAGAATTCTTGAGTGCTATTCCTAGCAGTGCCAATCATTTTCTTAAAGCAAGTTACTTAATCTTTCTGTGCCTCAGCTGACCAATCTATAAAATGGTAATAATAATACTTCCTTGTAGAGGTCATTTGAAACTTGTGTTTGTAAAGTAATGTCAGGTTTCAGAGTAACAGCCGTGTTAGTCTGTATTCGCAAAAAGAAAAGGAGACAGTAGGGTGGGAGGAGGTATTGTTTCATGGTCTCTGTGTGTATATAATGTCTTCTGCAGTTTCCACGGTATGCAGCCGATGAAGTGAGCTGTAGCTCACAAAAGCTCATGCTCAAATAAATTGGTTAGTCTCTAAGGTGCCACGAGTACTCCTTTTCTTTTTGTAAAGTAATGTGTGATTCTCACATTTAAGGTGCTATGGATATGCACTGTATTATTATTAAAACAGACTGTCCCATTAGAAGATGACAGAGAGGATTATAGACTGTCTACAAAAATGTAAGTAAACTAATTTATTTTCCCAAGCCCTGGGGCCTGATCCAGGGAGGTGCTGAGCATCCACAACTTCCCGTAACACCAGTGGGAGTTGTGGGTGGTGAGCATCTCTTGGGCTCAGCCACAGGGCAGGTCTGGATAGGCCTACTTTCTTTACACAGTTCCCTTACAGATGCATCATTTCCTCTTTAAACTGATGCTCAAAAAAAATGAAACCCTTCAGGGATCTTTTTCTGTGAGGCTCCATCCTGAGGGAACAGCTTCCACTACTCAGATTGCTCTTTGAATTTCCAAGGTGCTATTCGGCAGCTGGAGAAATGCCATATGATGCATTGTTCAAAGAGTTTTATTAGAGCTTAATATGCTCTCCAAGATGTGCCAAGTCTATCATTACCTGACAATAGAATTTTGTTAGTTCATAACAAAATAGTAGGGTTTGGACAGCTTGTATAAACACATTTATGATGTTATTACTTCCTTGGTGGAGAGCAAGAGGGTGGATTTTTATTATTTTATTTTAGGTATAAGCAGCAGCATAGATACTAATGTCTGACTTGGCAATCAAATACGGCTGGTGTGACTACATCGACCAGAGATGGACCCAGAGCATCAGGACAACCCGAATCTGACACGTTGCTCACCAGCACATAGAAAGATTGAAAAAACCAAGAGTTTGAAAATCAGAAAGCAAACCAAAGTAGTCCCATAAAATTAATTTGCATCCAGAAGAGCAAACCCCCGTTCATTCTACCCACACATTACAACACCTTTGCTAGAACCACCATGTTCTGAAAAGAGCAGGAAACTACAGGATAATACTCTGAGGGAAGACACTCAGTGTTATGCTCCCTGTTTGCCAGTTGGGCAGTGCTGCTTCTAACTTTGCTGTGTAACCATCCCTTGGCAAAGTGACCAGTTTACCTCACAGCTATTTATTTTGGGGGCTGGACGATGACCCAGACCACTTGCTTTATCAGCAGCTAGAAAGTCAATCTGCATTTCTTATTCAAGCTTCCCATAAAAATGTCTTGATTTAACAATCTGCTCAACTGTGACGATTTGGAGGTTCTGTCTGTACCAATTCTGAGTTGTGGATGAGGTTATGAAATTGTATCATGACATTACCGTGTCTTGGAAAGCCTATATGTTTTTAGAACCACCGCGAGTTAGCAGAGTTGTTTCACATTTTTGCCAGGCCAGAGACAATGGTGGGTGACAAAGCAGACAATAGCCTATTCAAAGTAAAATACCTTTGGACAATGGATTTGCTCTAGCTGGGATAAGACACTTCCTCCTCTTGTCTGAAGGGGGGAGGGGCGTGCCTTGGGAGCAATGGAAAGTTACCAAAAAGCAGAACAAAAGCAGCAGGTCACCCCCACTCCCCGGCAGGAAATTATAAAGGGACACACAGAGGGGACATGGGGGAGGGAGCCATTTTATACCAGATTAAGATGAGGGAGCCTGCAGCGGGGGCAGGATAGGCAAGGGGGCAGAGAACCCTGCCTGCCTGATGGAACACAGATGAGCTCCCAAGGGAAAGGTGAGCTACTGAGGGACATTGCGTTTAGGATATTTTATGGTTTTCTGTATGATCTGTATTCTATGTGTTTTGTTAAGTAAAGAACAGCGGTGCTAGAATCGGTGCTAAGCCTATCTACCAGTATGGTTTGGTCTACACTACAAGGTTAGATCGACATAGGGTGACCAGATGTCCCAATTTTATAGGGACAGACCCGATATTTGGAGCTGTGTCTTATATAGGCTCCTATTACCCCCCACCCCCATCCCAATTTTTCACACTTCCTGTCTGGTCACCCTAAGTCGACATAAGGCAGCTTACATTGTCTACATGAAAATGCACTACACTACACTGCAAGCGTCTACATGAAAATGTCACTCCCACTGATGTAACTTACCCACTACGACTACTTAATAACTCCACCTCTGTGAGAGGCGTAGCGTTTAGGTTGATGTTCGGTTGACACAGTGTCAGTGTAGACACTGCATTGCTTACATTGACTGCTACTGCCTTTCAGAAGCCATCCCACAATACCCAACATTGACAATTGAATCGGTGCAAGCGCTCCTGGTGAGGACACGCACCAACAACACAAGGAGCTTAGTGCAGATATGGAAAAGCAATTTAATTACTCCAGTGACTGTAAGTCAACGTAACGTAGGTCGATTTAGTTTTATAGTGTAGACTTGCCCTTAGTGTTTAAGCGCTCACAACTACCACATTGGCCCTGAAAGAGAGAAACTGTAAACCAGAAGCTTCACACCTTTTGGGTGGGTTCTAGGAGAAGGGTATGCTTAAGTACAAGGGAGCTGAAGGCTCAGTGCTGCATGCAGAGGGGCTAGACAGCTGGACAGTGGGTTACAACACTCAGAGTGGGGTGCTAGATAGAAGGTCTGAGCTGAGAGAGTATGCCTAGAGACTCAGAGATTGGGGCCATGGCTGGATTCCAGTCAGGCCCCAACAGTTTGAAACACCCCAGGGACACAAAGCAACACAGGCTTGGATTCCCCTTGTAGCAGTCCAACTGGGCTAGGAAGGGGGACTTGCTAGGATGTGCGACACCAATATACGCTAGATAGCACATCATATCAATAGAAGCCTCTAGCCCAGCTGTTGCAGTGTATAGCTGAATCCTGACATTCTATCAATGTTTCACCAGCTGAGAGTGTGTTATAATGTATATTTTTCTTTTGGTAAGTAGGAGCCCAACCCAACAAATCCTTACTCACAGGAGTAATCTTATTGACTCAATGCACAATTAAGGACCACATACACACAAGTAAAGGTTTGCATGGGAACTGTAAATGTATTTGGAATCGATTCACAGCAGTCTGGACAGTTGGCATATACATACAAGACAGTACTCTCTGCAAAGTAATACATTTTTCAAATGTAAATAATCAAACAACCTGATCTTATTATATACATCAGAAAAAATCGTATTCAAAAAGCATAATCCAGAATGACATGGCTATTACTGTGTCCTAAAATGGTGAAAACAACATTAAATAACATTACCATCCCAGGTACGATGGTAAATTATTTAACTTGAGTTCTACTAAAACATGTGCTCCTAACATCTCTTTTCCAACTTGAGTGTCATCTCAAACAGTTTATCAGAAGGAAAAATATTGCAGCGCTTATCTAAATAGTTCTGATCCTCCAAAACCTATGAAGGCGAGACACTGCGGAGAGAATATGTCAGGGCCCCTTTATGTAGATATAGATGCTTTCCCAAATTACCTTAATTAAAAAAAAAAAAAGAATTAATCTGCAATTATGTCACTTTGTGCTATGGCACTACCAGATCTCAGGGCTTGTCTCCACTACCGGCCGGATCGACAGGCAGTGATCAATTTAGCAGGGGTTGATTTATCGTGTCTAGTATAGATACGTTTCAGAGCAGCAGCCATGTTAGTCTGTATCCGCAAAAAGAACAGGAGTACTTGTGGCACCTTAGAGACTAACAAATTTATTAGAGCATAAGCTTTCGTGGGCTGTAGCCCACTTCATCAAATGCATAGAATGGAACATATAGTAAGATAGATATACACATACAGATAAGAAAGGAGTACTTGTGGCACCTTAGAGACTAACCAATTTATTTGAGCATGAGCTTTCGTGAGCTACAGCTTTTCTCACCCTGGATTTGTGCTGGAAATGGCCCAACCTGATGAACACTTTAGATAAGCTATTACCAGCAGGACATTGGGGTGGGAAGAGGTATTGTTTCATATTCTCTGTGTATATATAAAGTCTGCTGCAGTTTCCACGGTATGCATCCGATGAAGTGAGCTGTAGCTCACGAAAGCTCATGCTCAAATAAATTGGTTAGTCTCTAAGGTGCCACTCGTACTCCTTTTCTTTTTGCGAATACAGACTAACACGGCTGTTACTCTGAAACATACAGATAAGTTGAAAGTTACCATACAAACTGTTTCAGAGTAACAGCCGTCTTAGTCTGTATTCGCAAAAAGAAAAGGAGAACTTGTGGCACCTTAGAGACTAACCAATTTATTTGAGCATGAGCTTTCGTGAGCTGTGAGAGGCTAATTAGTTAAGATGAGCTATTATCAGCAGGAAAAACACACTTTTGTAGTGATAATCAAGATGGCCTATTTAGACAGTTGACAAGAAGGTGCGAGGATACTTAACTTAAGGAAATGGATTCAATATGTGTAATGACCCAGCCACTCCCAGTCTCTATTCAAACCCAAGTTAATGGTATCTAGTTTGCATATTAATTCAAGCTCAGCGGTTTCTCATTAGAGTCTGTTTTTGAAGCTTTTCTGTTGCAAAATTGCCACCCTTTACTGAGTGGCCAGAGAGGTTGAAGTGTTCTCCTACCGGCTTTTGAATGTTATGATTCCCGACGTCAGGTTTGTGTCCATTTCTTCTTTTGCGTAGAGACTGTCCGGTTTGGCCAATGTACATGGCAGAGGGGCATTGCTGGCACATGATGGCATATATCACATGATGTGCAGGTGAACGAGCCCCTGATGGCGTGGCTAATGTGATTAGGTCCTATGATGGTGTCACTTGAATAAATATGTGCGCAGAATTGGCATCGGGCTTTGTTGCAAGAATAGGTTCCTGGGTTAGTGTTTTTGTTGTGTGGTCGCTGGTGAGTATTTGCTTCAGGTTGAGGGGCTGTCTGTAAGCGAGGACTGGTCTGTCTCCCAAGATCTGTGAGAGTGATGGGTCGTCCTTCAGGATAGGTTGTAGATCCTTGATGATGCACTGGAGAGGTTTTCGTTGAGGGCTGAAGGTGATGGCTAGTGGCGTTCTGTTATTTTCTTTGTTGGGCCTGTCCTGTAGTAGGTGACTTCTGGGTACTCTTCTGGCTCTGTCAGTCCGTTTTTTCACTTCGGCAGGTGGGTACTGTAGTTTTAAGAATGCTTGATAAACACCTTGGTATCGCCTTGGTGAGTTAAGTATCCTCACACCTTCTTGTCAACTTTCTAAATGGGCCATCTTGATTATCACTACAAAAGTTTTTTTCTCCTGCTGATAATAGCACATCTTAACTAATTAGAAAAGGAGTACTTGTGGCACCTTAGCCCTGGTCTACACTAGGACTTTAGGTCGAATTTAGCAGTGTTAAATCGATTTAAACCTGCACCCGTCCACACAATGAAGCCCTTTATTTCGACTTAAAGGGCTCTTAAAATCGATTTCCTTACTCCACCCCTGACAAGTGGATTAGCGCTTAAATCGACGTTGCCGGCTCGAATTTGGGGTACTGTGGACACAATTCGATGGTATTGGCCTCCGGGAGCTATCCCAGAGTTCTCCATTATGACCGCTCTGGACAGCACTCTCAACTCAGATGCACTGGCCAGGTAGACAGGAAAAGAACCGCGAACTTTTGAATCTCATTTCCTGTTTGGCCAGCGTGGCAAGCTGCAGGTGACCATGCAGAGCTCATCAGCACAGGTGACCATGATGGAGTCCCAGAATCGCAAAAGAGCTCCAGCATGGACCGAACGGGAGGTACGGGATCTGATCGCTGTTTGGGGAGAGGAATCCGTGCTATCAGAACTCCGTTCCAGTTTTCAAAATGCCAAAACCTTTCTGAAAATCTCCCAGGGCATGAAGGACAGAGGCCATAACAGGGACCCGAAGCAGTGCCGCGTGAAACTGAAGGAGCTGAGGCAAGCCTACCAGAAAACCAGAGAGGCGAACAGCCGCTCTGGGTCAGAGCCCCAAACATGCCGCTTCTATGATGAGCTGCATGCCATTTTAGGGGGTTCAGCCACCACTATCCCAGCCGTGTTGTTTGACTCCTTCAATGGAGATGGAGGCAATACAGAAGTAGGTTTTGGGGACGAAGATGATGATGAGGAGGAGGTTGTAGATAGCTCACAGCAAGCAAGCGGAGAAACCGGTTTTCCCGACAGCCAGGAACTGTTTCTCACCCTAGACCTGGAGCCAGTACCCCCCGAACCCACCCAAGGCTGCCTCCTGGACTCAGCAGGCGGAGAAGGGACCTCTGGTGAGTGTACCTTTTAAAATGCTATACATGGTTTAAAAGCAAGCATGTGAAAGGATTACTTTGCCCTGGCATTTGCGGTTCTGCCTTTGCAAAAGGTTTCTGGGGAGGGCAGCCTTATTTCGTCCTTCATGGTAGGACACTTTACCACTCCAGGCCAGTAACACGTACTCGGGAATCACTGTAGAACAAAGCATTGCAGTGTATCTTTGCTGGCATTCAACCAAAATCCGTTCACGCGGTGGGAGGAGGCAAAATGCGACCTTGTAACGAAAGCACATGTGCTATGTATGTAATGTTAACAACAAGGTTTACCCTGAAAGAGTGTAGCGACTGTTTTATAAAATGTGTCTTTTTAAATACCGCTGTCCCTTTTTTTTTTCTCCACCAGCTGCATGTGTTTCAATGATCACAGGATCTTCTCCTTCCCAGAGGCTAGTGAAGCTTAGAAAGAAAAAAAAAACGCACTCGCGATGAAATGTTCTCCGAGCTCATGCTGTCCTCCCACACTGACAGAGCACAGACGAATGCGTGGAGGCAAATAATGTCAGAGTGCAGGAAAGCACAAAATGACCGGGAGGAGAGGTGGAGGGCTGAAGAGAGTAAGTGGCGGGCTGAAGACAGGGCTGAAGCTCAAAGGTGGCGGCAGCGTGATGAGAGGAGGCAGGATTCAATGCTGAGGCTGCTGCAGGACCAAACCAGTATGCTCCAGTGTATGGTTGAGCTGCAGCAAAGGCAGCTGGAGCACAGACTGCCACTGCAGCCCCTCTGTAACCAACCGCCCTCCTCCCCAAGTTCCATAGCCTCCAAACCCAGACGCCCAAGAACGCGGTGGGGGGGCCTCCGGCCAACCAGCCACTCCACCACAGAGGATTGCCCAAAAAAAAGAAGGCTGTCATTCAATAAATTTTTAAGTTGTAAACTTTTAAAGTGCTGTGCTTAAAGTGCTGTGTGGCATTTTCCTTCCCTCCTCCACCACCCCTCCTGGGATACCTTGGTAGTCATCCCCCTATTTGTGTGATGAATGAATAACGAATGCATGACTGTGAAGCAGCAATGACTTTATTGGCTCTGCAAGCAATGATTAAAGGGAGGAGAGGAGGGTGGTTAGCTTACAGGGAAGTAGAGTGAACCAAGGGGTGGGGGGGTTCATCAAGGAGAAACAAACAGAACTTTCACACCGTAGCCTGGCCAGTCATGAAACTGGTTTTCAAAGCTTCTCTGATGCGTACCGCGCCCTCCTGTGCTCTTCTAACCGCCCTGGTGTCTGGCTGCGCGTAACCAGCAGCTAGGCGATTTGCCTCAACCTCCCACCCCGCCATAAACGTCTCCCCCTTACTCTCACAGATATTGTGGAGCACACAGCAAGCAGTAATAACAGTGGGAATATTGGTTTCGCTGAGGTCTAAGCGAGTCAGTAAACTGCGCCAGCGCGCCTTTAAACGTCCAAATGCACATTCTACCACCATTCTGCACTTGCTCAGCCTGTAGTTGAACAGCTCCTGACCACTGTCCAGGCTGCCTGTGTATGGCTTCATGAGCCATGGCATTAAGGGGTAGGCTGGGTCCCCAAGGATACATATAGGCATTTCAACATCCCCAACAGTTATTTTCTGGTCTGGGAATAAAGTCCCTTCCTGCAGCTTTTGAAACAGACCAGAGTTCCTGAAGATGCGAGCATCATGCACCTTTCCCGGCCATCCCACGTTGATGTTGATGAAACGTCCCTTGTGATCCACCAGAGCTTGCAGCACTATCGAAAAGTACCCCTTGCGGTTTATGTACTCGGCGGCTTGGTGCTCCGGTGCCAATATAGGGATATGGGTTCCGTCTATAGCCCCACCACAGTTAGGGAATCCCATTGCAGCAAAGCCATCCACTATGACCTGCACATTTCCCAGGGTCACTACCCTTGACATCAGCAGATCTTTGATTGCGTGGGCTACTTGCATCACAGCAGCCCCCACAGTAGATTTGCCCACTCCAAATTGATTCCCAACTAACCGGTAGCTGTCTGGCGTTGCAAGTTTCCACAGGGCTATCGCCACTCGCTTCTCAACTGTGAGGGCTGCTCTCATCTTGGTATTCATGCGCTTCAGGGCAGGGGAAAGCAAGTCACAAAGTTCCATGAAAGTGCCCCTACGCATGCGAAAGTTTCGCAGCCACTGGGAATCGTCCCAGACCTGCAACACTATGCGGTCCCACCAGTCTGTGCTTGTTTCCCGAGCCCAGGTTCATGCTGGCGTTCCACAGCATGAACCTGCCCCATTAGCACCATGATGCATGCATTGTCAGGGCCCATGCTTTCAGAGAAATCTGTGTCCATGTCCTGATCACTCACGGGACCGCGCTGACGTCGCCTCCTCGCCCGGTATCGCGTTGCCATGTTCTGGTGCTGCATATACTGCTGAATAATGCGTGTGGTGGTTAATGTGCTCCTAATTGCCAAAGTGAGCTGAGCGGGCTCCATGCTTGCCGTGGTATGGCGTCTGCACAGGTAACTCAGGAAAAAAGGCGCGAAATGATTGTCTGCCCTTGCTTTCACGGGGGGGGGGGGAGGGAGGGAACGGGGGGCTGACGATATGTACCCAGAACCACCCGCGACAATGTTTTAGCCCCATCAGGCATTGGGATCTCAACCCAGAATTCCAATGGGCAGCGGAGACTGCGGGAACTGTGGGATAGCTACCCACAGTGCAACGC